ACATGAAGCATGCCTGAATCAAGTAGAAGCAAATAATAGACAAATAGGATCATGGTTGTGTAAGAAATGACTAAGAAGGCTTCACAAGTATCATTCAAATGCCTTAGCTAACAGAATAGATCAAAGCATAATAAGCAATATCAGATATGCAAAACAATACAGTGATGGCATAGAGGGCAGAAAAGTCACATTTGGAACATTTTGAGCAGAAATATGATCAACAGGATAAGCATAGGCTGTGATGTGCATAAATGATGCAACGTGCATTCACAAACCTAAAACTCATGTAGATGCTGCATTGACAAGACAAATAGACTCTAGGATGACATCGTATCAATTCCTAAGCAAGAATGTCTATAAGTGTAACAGTTAAGATCAAATGGAGCAAGCAGGATAACATGGAGTATATAATTATGGCAAATGTCAACCTAGGACTCAAGAAGCATGCATGTCATGTAATAAAGACTAAGTGGAATGCACGGTTATAAAACACTTTAATCCAAAGCATGTTATGATAGACAAGTTCAAGAATGAATCCTGGACATGGTATGCAACTAGATGGCATATATCTGAATGATGAATATATATTAACAAACTCTAGATAAAGAAATATCCCGTACTCCAATGCAACAAAATCAACATCCTATGATCACTTATGGCTCGTGACCCCCTCTAAGCTATAGATAAGTAGAGAAATGATCGCTTATAGCTCGTGACCCCCTTTAAAGCTTAAATGAAGCAAAAAGTAGTCAAAAACTAGGAATACAAGAAGCTTATCAGTATGGAATCAAAATCAGGACCGGAAAGAACCTTGGTCATAAGGCTTTACTTGGCTCTCAGGAATGGATCACAAGTGTAAGATATCAAGCAAATGGCATTTAAACAGATAATTGGCAAGACAAAGCAAACAGATTCCCAAACTTGGTTCAAATTGCATTTCAAAATTCAAGTTAAGCTCAAGAAGTGATACTAATACCAAAAAACAGAAATCATATTACAATTATGCATTTTAAAACTCAAACAACCATTACACACCCCCAAACTTAGTCAAAGAGTAGTTCCAAGAAGATATGTTCAAAGGATGCACATAAACTCTCAAAAACTATCAATGTGATATAAGTGTGTGCAAAATGGTGTAGATACAAGCAATAAGTTGCAATTATTCCAAAGTGCACACAATTATTCAAAGAGTGACACAATTGACAAGTTTTAAGGTCATTAAGCAATAATGGAATCATTTGACTTCAAAAAGTTGGGTTGGAATGATAATTCATTTCATTTTGCAAGAGAAGATTAAAATCATGATGAGGAAGGTCCAAGGACATCAACCTTGCGCCCTAGCATGGCAAGAATCAAGAATTACATCACAAATAAGTTCAAAGGCACTTAGCACATACAAATGGATGGAAAGGAATCAAGTGGAACAAGCTGCAACTTAAACAAGGGCATTTTGGTCAACTTTGGAATAGAGAGGTTGGATGATGTTGAGCTTAAGTCAATTGGAAATCAAAACTTTTCAAAGGGGTCCATTTGAAACATTTTTATGCATTTGAGACAAGACATTGCATTTTCAAGTTCAAAAGCACAAAATTCAAGTCAAGTCATGCCTGCAAGCAATTAAGACAATTCAAAAGCATCATATCCATGCATTTCATATTTAAAACAAGCAAATGAAACAAGTCAGGATCATGCTCACAACAATCCAAATTTTTTCAATGCCATTGCAAGTTCAAAATTTCAAAAATTTTACAAGTTCAAGGAAAATTTCCTTTCATTTCAAGAGAAACAAATCCTTTTAAGAATTCAAGCTTTGCATTTCAAATTACCAAATGATTTTGCATTTTAATGACATTCTTAAAGTCCAAATTCAATCAATAATTTCACATTTCAAACAACTTGGATTTTCAAAATAATTTAAAATTTTCTTTCTTTTCAATTTAAAACCAACATCTTAACTTCAAAAACTCTTTCCAAATTCCATTTCAAATTTCAAAAACAAACCACATGCCTTTTGGAATTTAAAAACAAAGTTCAATTTTAATTTTTCGAATATCCGGCTTGGTTTCCCCTTAAAAATGGTCATTTCCAAATTTTCAAACTCAACAAATATTCATGTCAATCACAATCAACAATCAAGTAGCATATAACATTTAAATTTCCATCCAATCAATTAAACAAGGAACACTGCCCACAGCATCAATCCAAATCCAAATTATAAATTGCCCATTCTCTTTCCAAACTACTCCGAACTCCATTTATCAAAGTATTCCCATCACCGGTCAATCCAAAATCAAAGATACACAATCCAAAGATAATTGTTCCTACTTTTAAACAATTTTTTGCATTTTCATTATTTATTTATTTATTTTTATTCTTTTCAATTTTTATTTGCTTTCCAAATTTTTATATTCACAAGCATATGTACAAATGACAATTAAAATGCAAAATACAAAATAAAATGAAAACAAAACAAAATACAAAAATAAAAGAAACAAAAACAAAATAAAAATAAAAAAAAATAAAAAGAAAATGATTTGGAGCATACCCGATCTATAAGAGAGAATAGGAGAGTGAAATGAAAAGATTCGGGAAAAAATGAGGAGTTCTGGCCTCACTGTGGCCGGAGAAGATGACCAGAGACTCGCCGGAATTTTCAGAAGCTCGCCGGAGCTAGATTCGACTTCTCCTTGACCTAAATTGGCCAGAGACAGTGAATAAGAGAACCCGAGAGAAAAGAGAGAGGTTGGATGATGGATTTGGCCTATGGGCCAAAAATCTTTCGCCATTTTTAATGGAGGACGGCGGCGGCGAGATGGAGCTTCCGTTGGGTTCACCGGCGCTGGTAAAGAAGAGGTGGAGTGGGTGGTTATTCGCGGTTGCAGGGTAGAGAGAGTGAACGAGATGGAGATTGAGAGGTGAGAGGGAGATAGAGAATTCGGGAGAGAGGGAGGGTTTCAGAGAGAGAAAACGAAGAGAATGAGAGGGAGGAAGAGAGAGAAAGAAAGAAAGAAAAAAGAAAAAGAAAAAGAAAAATAGGTGTAATGTTTCCAATTTTTACCATTTTCTGAAATTTTCTAATTTTTCGAGGACAATTTCGTCTTTTCTCGTTTTGCATGCCGGACACTGTGGGGTGTGCCGGTTGTGTTTAAGAGTTGGTTGGGGCATTTCATTAAGTTCAGGACTCTTGGAAATGCAAGGATTGCCATTTCGGCATTTTTCTGTTTTTCGGGCCAGAAGGTCTGAGACGGGACCCGCTACCGGGGTTGTTATGTCACAGGTCCATTGCATTCCATGCATTATTATTTGACGCATTTTATATGGTTATGTGCTGTATATGTGTTGTAGTGTGTTTAGTGTATGTACGGTGTATATATATATATTAAAGTAAAATAAGATATTTTTAAAACAGGTGGGACCTGCCCCTTTTGTAAGTCATTACAAATGACTAAGGGTCATTCGAGACCCTCATATTCTCTCTCACTCTGCTACGTTCTCTCTCCCTCTCACATTTCGTTTTTTTCTTTTTCTTTTCTAATTAATCTCAAGCCTTGATATCTCTCAAACCATAGAGAATTTGGCTTTGTTACTGAAGACAAAGTTGATGAGCGTGTCGAGATCTACATTTTGATCAGAGCAAAGTTCATTTTGGCCACTATTGGGATTTAAAAAATATGGGGCTTTTTAGGGCTTTCTTCAATTGGTTGAGGTAGGGGTTTCTAATACACATTTTCTTTAACTTTTGTAAATTATTTCTCCTTAATTTGTGATTTAGCATGTCTAATTTTGAGAATATTGTACGTGACATTACTTGAATATTATGTAAAAGTTGTGACTGTGTTATGTGGTATATGATGGAGAAGCATGCTCAATCGATGATATTTTATGCCTATTGTGCTTAAATGTTAAAATTTTGTGTTTAGAAGCATGATATATAATTTAGAGATTTTCTACAAGATATGCTTTGTTACGGTTAATTTGTTCATGAAGCGTGAATTCTCTATTTACATGACATTAAAAGGCATGGTACATTCATGCATAAGCATTGGGAGGAAATGGGAACATGATTTCAAAGGAAAAGAAAAAGGTTTTGGGTAAAAGTTTTTGAAAGGGTTTGCGAAAACCCGGCCACCTAGGAGTTGCCTAGGGACTGCGGCGTTAGTGTGGCCTAGAGGGAATTAGGGGGACTGCCCTAGCGTGGTTGAGTTACCTGTGTCCCAAATGACGCCATGGAGTTACATTGGGCCAGGGACAGTTAGCCAATCATTCTTTCGTGGTGCCATGGAGTTGCCATGGGCTGGGTTGTATTAACGGTTTGGAAATGATGATGGAAAAGGTTTTGGAAATGGGGAGCAACATAGTATGACATTGCACTCCATTGCATGACATGATTGGATGTGACTTTGAGGATGTTGTTGTTGTATTTTCCCTGAGATGGCATGACCCCATTCTTCTTATTTCCTATTCTTTGTTTGGATTCACGGGGTTTTAAGAGGTGTGTTTTAGGCATCTTCTGTTGAGCGGTTGGCTCACCCCTCTATTTATTAACATTTTTCAGGAAACGGGAAAGAAGTGGTGGATAAAAGACTAATCTGTTGTAGTGAGTCCATAAGTGCTTCTAGTGAAGCGCTGGTGTAGGTGTTACAGTACTAGCGCTTTAAGGAAAAGTACTAATATTGGTGTTATAGCACCAGCGCTTCTATTGAAGCGCTGGTGTAAGTGTTACAGTACCAGCGCTTTAACGAAAAGCGCTGGTAAGTGTTACAGTTTACAGTACTAGCGCTTTAAGAAAAAGCGTTGGTATTGGTGTTACAGTACCGGTGCTTTAAGGAAAAGTGCTGGTATAGGACCCTTCCATTCCCTTAAATTTTTTCTCCTTCCCTCCAATTTTTCTCTTCCCTCCACCTTTTCCCTCCGCTTATCTATGTATGTAGAATATTACATGTCTAAACTGCGTCGTTTTATTTTGTTCCATTAAAACACTATATTCTACTTTCCCATTTCAATTTGATTTATCCCTAATTTATCTATCTCCCGTTTTGGTTCGTCCCTCAGCCTTCTCTTCCTCTCTGCTCTATCTCGATCTGCTCCGTCTCGATCTCTCACTGCTCGATCTCCATTACTTTAGCTCATCGTAGGCTCTCTCTCTCTCATCCCTCTCTCTCCACCACCATTTCTCAGCTGAAGCACTTCTCTGCTCGATCTCCATTACTTTAGCTCATCGTAGGCTCTCTCTCTCTCATCCCTCTCTCTCCACCACCATTTCTCAGCCGAAACACTTCTTCCACCTGCGTTTCAGAGTACCTCAATTTCAGATTCTCTCTCTTCCCCTCACGGATCCTACTCATCCTCTCTCTCTTGGTGGTAAGTACCCCCTTTCTCTTGAAGCTTTCTCTTTGTCGATATTATATATATATATATATATATAGGGAAATCTCCATAACTAAAATAATCTTTATGTTTTTCTGATTTTTGGTTTATGATTCTTATTATGGTTCTGATTGAAATATTTTTTTCAGTCTATTATATCCATTGACTTCAAAGCCTCGATTGCGATCGTTTCACATTTCAGGTAGATCTATCTATTTTCGTGGCTTTTACAAATTGGGTTTCCAGATTTTAGTTGTTTTGTGTTGTCGAGAAAATTATTGTTCTTAGTTTCGTCAATAAAATTATCAATCAAAATCCAGGTCGAGGTTGGAGGATTTGGATCTTTGATATCAACCGCTGAATTCAAAAAAGGTTCAAAATTTATTCATATCTATTTGTAATTCGCCTCCATATATATACATGCAAATTTTTTTTAGGGTTTATTAATTTTATATTCTGTGTATAAAATTTTTTCCCCTCTTCAGACATGCGTTGATGAATATATGCTGAAGTTTCGTGCTTTTTTGGGTTATACTTATTCATTATATTTGGAATGTATTTCTTTTATGATTAGAATTAGTGCAATTGTGCAATCATCAATGTCGACAAAAACGGATGAATATAAAATTACTCTCTATGGTGGGATAAAATTTCTAACTACATGATTTTTGATTGTTATTATAGGGCTGACCACTAATTTTATTCTATATTACAGTTATTGTGTCTTAAGTACTGTATTCCTTGATTATTTTATAATTTGTTGTAACTCTTAGTTGAGGATTAATTTGCTATAAAAAGGAAACTCTGAATTTTTAAAATGATTTACTTTGTATAGAATTACTATGACCACACCAGAAATAAATGCTTTCGGTGTTGTGATGCTTTGTTGAACTAAGAAAGGTCGTCACATATAATTAAGTTCTACAATTGGCGAGTGATATCCTCCACACTTAGTCGTATAATTTGCAATAGTCCTTTTCATTTTGTTGTGGTAACATTTTTTATTTTATTTTTTTTTGGTGAAAAGATTGAAGAGAAGAGCCATTTTTGGCTCTGTGTCGATGCAGTCAGTTTTGCGATGGAATGTAAAATGATGGAACATACAAAATAGTGTTTTATAGGGATGCTGTTTTACAAAGGATGCATGTGCTGAGCATGTTGACATTAATGGAAAGTGAAAAGGAAAAAGAAAGTTGTTAGTACGTGAGATTGTTGCCCAAGACTCTGATGCGTCAAAGCATATTGGTAAATTAGACCTACAGAGAGAATGAATAGGTCTTCTGGATATTAATTTGCAACAAAGTAACTTTTTGAATTACAATTAAACTCTTTAAAATTTAGCTAGTTAGTTATGATTACTGTGATTTGGATTTTTGTTTATATTCGTTAGGTTTTGAATTCTTTCAACACAACCGCAATATTCATGCATAAAATATAGTATGGACACAATATTTTCATGTGAAAGACCATAAACAGGGAAAAACCAGAGACTTAGTCCAATGAGGGACAATCCACTGAATTGTTGAACTTGCTCAACTATATGTCTATCGTCCATTAGCTATTTTATGCATCGATTCTTGATGGCATTAAAGATTGGCCTGTAATCGGTTGCATTGGATCCAACTTAATACTTTGACCTGGAACAAGAGTCAATAATTACCACTGTATTATAGTTATTAAATTGCCCGTGCTGATGTTTAGATGTTGTGTTGAATTACAATTTTATTGCCTTTTTTTAACAATTTGATTGCATTCTCTTAACTGAATTCTCACTTTTTTGTTTGCTTTTCTAGGAAGGATAAATAATAAGTTGACAATGAAACGAACGGTTAGTGAAGTGGAAAAAGTGAGTGAACAAAATAGCGAAGCTTCAACTTCAAAATCATCCCAACCACCGCCGAAGAAGAGACGGGGTCCAACACGATGCAAAAATGTCATAGACGCGAAAACCTTATTACCTTTAAGGTACATATATATATAGATCATCTTATATAGTTTACATAATTAGACTATATTCAATATGAAGGAGAAAAAAGGATTTCTATCTTTATTTTTGTACTAAATATCTACAATTGTTAATTTTTTTTTAGGGTTGATAAGTTTGGACAGCCGATCAGTCCTGGGAGTGGTACATATACTAATTATCTGGGAACACTTGCCGGAAGGGTGAATTAGCTCCTTTGTTCTACAAAACTTGGTGGGAGATGCCTAAACGGCTGAAGGAGGATATGTGGAACATTGTAAAGGTAAAACCCTTCAATAACATTAAAATAATTTTTATGGAAAAAGTGGACTAACAACAATTATCACATTTTCAGGGAAAATATGATGTGGGAATCATGACAAAATAGTGAACAATATCCTCCATCGGAAAAAAATGGAGGGGGTACAAGTGTGAGTTGAAAAATGAATACTACTCAGTTAGGGATACAGATGAAGAAAGATTGGCAAACCCACCACCTAATGTTGAAAAGGAGCATTGGGAATTTTTGGTTAGGCATTGGGGTACGCCTATGGCGAAGGTAATCCTCCATCTATCACAATGTTTTTTGAAGTTAATGAGTTGAATTTATAGTTTACCTGCTTTCAGTCATTATTTTAGGTCGAATTTTCTTTACTCAAAGAACTTTTACTTTTTCTCACTTTTTGTAGGAGGTCAGCAAAAAAAATAAAGAACGTCGTGGGAAGCAGACAATGATGCATACTACAGGGACAAAAAGCTTTGCACGTGTGTCTGCCGAGGTTAGTTGAAGTTTTTATGGAAAATATAAATTATTTCAATTCTTATGTCGTTGAATGATTATAAATGTTAGTGGTAAATAATATATATCACAATGTATTCTTTTATAGATTGAGGAAGACGAGGGTATTCAGCTTTCTCGTGCAGATTTATTCATCCGCACACATGTAAATAAGGATGGCAAAGCTACTGATGCTGCTGCTTTGGAGATGATTGTAAGTTTTCACGCTTCCATTTTGCAAAAAGGGGGTCATGTGCCTTGCAGTGACCAATTTTTAAACTCTTTACGCTGTATTAGGGGGTCACGTGCCTTGAAGCGACCAATTTTTAAATCATCGGCCCGTGTGGAGGTAATTTACTTTCTTGTATTTGTTGAAAAACATGGGAGTATGGGATCATTGTATGTGGAGGTTTCTTGTTGATTGATTTGTGTTGTGAGAAGAAGTATTTGCTATTTATTGTTTGTTGTTTGTTGTTTGTGTTAATTTGTTACTCAGATATTATGGCAATAGTCTTTTGAATGTAGACAACTTCAAATATTATATACAAGCTATGTAAAGGCCACTAAACACTTGTTCATGATCTATAAAGTTCTTTTTTTTTTTTTTTTTCTTTTCTGAAAAGATTTCCATCTTCAAAAAGCTTGGCATGTTGATAAAAATTGTTTCAGATTCAATCTCTGCAGATTTCTAATCCAATTCAGATTTTTTTTTTTTTTTTTTTTTCAGTTCTGAAAAGATTTCCATCTTCAAAAAGCTTGGCATGTTGATAAAAATTGTTTTCAGATTCAATCTCTGCAGATTTCTAATCCAATTCAGATTCTTTTTTTTTTTTTTTTTTTTTTTCAGTTCTGAAAAGATTTCCATCTTCAAAAAACTTGGCATGTTGGTAAAAATTGTTTCAGATTCAATCTATGTATGCAGATTTCTAATCCAATTCAGATTTTTTTTTTTCTTCAGTTCTGAAAAGATTTCTATCTTCAAAAAGCTTGGCATGAAAATCAAATTAGTAGTTCTCTCACACACACACACACACGAATCATGATCACTGAGAAATTATGCTGATTTACATCAAAGTATACCAAACTTAAAGGCAGAAAGAAACACAATTACAGAAGAGGTTTCACATCTCTTTAGTAAATTACTCAAATTCAATTTCACCCTTCACCTTTTTTTCCTTCTTTCTATGGATAGTGAGTGTTTGGAAGAATAAATGCATCCAGAGAAATTATTCTGCTAACAATTTTACTTGCTTTTTCTTCTATTGCATTATAGATATCTTATACTAATTATTTTCTATTGAATCAGGAAGCACATTTGGTTTCTACATTTTTACCCATTTGAGGACAGAAAATGCTTAGGAAACTACAAATGATAACCTAGGGAAAAAGTAAAATATAATATTAGGTGCAAAAACTTTTGCCTAGTGAATCTTATTAAATAAAAGACATAGAATTATGTGTCCTATAATAATAATTGCACACCAAGTCTTTTGTCCAATTACCTATATAAGATTCTTCAATTAGATGGGACATTCAAATTTAGACATAAACAACAGTACTCATAAGTTGGCAATTTCTTTAATCATAGTGTATACTTTAGCACAATGTCTGGTACCTCAAAAGACTACTAATTTGATTTTTCCTCTTCTATAACGACTCGATTACATTTTTTATTAGTGTATACTTTAGCACAATGTATTAAAAGAACTATTAATTTGATAAAAATTTGATTTTTTTTTTTCTCTATTTACTTCATTTAAATCATTTTGTTTTTGTCATGAAAGCTTAGGTGTGTATATATATATATATATATATATATATATATATATACATGCACATGTATATTTAAGCATTACATGTTCATAGCTTGTTGAGATTTCAGTTCTTTTGTGCTTTATTTAGAATCTAGGGTTTTCAGTTCTGGATGTTTCATAGTAGTATGTCATGGTAGTTCAAACATTTTTTTGGCAGGAAAACATAAGAGAACTTCAAAAAAGTTACTCTGACTCGTCTATTGGCAACTCCAATGATTTGTTCTCCATTGTGAGGGGAGAAGAGAGAACTGGTCGTGTGCAGATGCTTGGCTTCGGGTCTACATCAAGCGATGTTTGGGGGCCCTCTCTTAGTAAAGCTGAACTGATTAATAATGCTAAAAAATCTCAGGAGGAGGCACGTACTACACGTGTAGAGTTGCAGGAGACGATTTCAAAAAATGCAAGCTGACTACAACAAGAAGTTGGAAAATTTACGAGCCAACTACGACGACAAGTTGGAAAATTTACAACAACAGGTGGCTATGCTAATGTAGATGCAACAACAAAATTGTAGTAGACAGGTATATTTATTATTAGTTTTACTCTTTACTAAATATATGTTTACTTATGCTAAGATTTCATATATTTTGTTTTGTTATTTTGAAAGATTCTGATTCTTTAAATGCTCCTCCTAGAGTATCTCCAAATCCATTTTCTAGTTGTGATGCCAATTCAGTTAAGGTTATGAATTTTTAATTTCTCTTATATATATGTTAAATTTTCATTTATTATAATGTGCGCTTAATGAATTTATAAAAAATGTAGGGTAATTCAAATCAAATAATCATATGGGCAAGAAGACTTGTTGAAGTCGAAGTTGAAGATGGGGTCGTGGCTGTGCTTTCTGAATTTCCTTCACCTTGGATGGGTTCTTTTTGAAAAACTTGTATTACATTTGTTAAAAATTCTTAATTTTTTTTGTGTGACATTTAGTACCTTTATCTAGACAATTTGGATGGTATTTTCATATTGGCAGGTTAACTTGTGGTTGTATTAGTATACATTTTTTACTAGCTTAACTTGTGGTGGTATTAGTAGTCAATTTCGATGGTATTTTTCATATTGGCAGGGTTAACTTGTGGTTGTTTGTAAAAATAATTTGGATGGTATTTTTATATTGACTTGTGTTAGGATGCATTTAGTAGTCGTGAAGAAATTTTTTTCCAAAAACAATAATGGGAAAAAAAAAAAATGTAAATAATTTTGCCAACGCTCTTTTAAAAAGCGCTGGCATAGGGAAAAAAAAATTCAAATAACCCTTTACCAGCGCTTTTTCAAAAAGCGCTGGCATAAGGGGAAAAAAAAAATATTAAAAAAAAAAATTTCAAATAATCTTTTACCAGCGCTTCTCCAAAAGTGCTGGTAAAGGCTTACTGACACTGGATTTACCAGCGCTTTTGAAGAAGCGCTGGTAAAGCGCCAGTAATTGAATTACCAGCGCTTTTTAAGGCTTTTATTAGCGTTTTTGAGCGCTGGTAAAAATCAAAACTGTTGTAGTGATTCTTGTTATTGTAATTATATTCATGGGCTGTAATTTTAATATAAGTTGTCTGAACGTTGTAAGATATGGACTTTTAACCTTAGCCATATTTTTGGAACTGTAATTATGATATTTAGATTAATTGGTATGTGGTTGTTTCACCATGAAATGAATTATGTTGAGGCATAATGAATGGATGAAAGGAATGTTGAAATGTATTATTTGCTTTATATATTGGAACAGATTAAATAAGTTTTGAAGGTCCAAGAGAGGCCATTGTATTTTTATACATTTAAGCAGGTTATTATAGGACCTCTTTTAGTAGAGGTCATGCTGGAAAAAATAAAATAAAATTTTATATAACTGGTTTCATTTTGGGTCGTTACAAATTTGGTATCAGAGTAATGATTCGAATACCATTAGGACGACGGGTAGATGCTTACCTAGGATTGCATGGGAAAGTTGAATTGCATGACTATGTGCTTATGTGTTAAGGCGTTTAATTGATCAAAAGGCATGCGTACTTGTTTATCTGCCTATTTGCTTATGTGATCACATGCTTATGTGTTTAAAAGAATGTATATTGTTACCATGATAATGATTGAAAGCATGTTGATTTTGATATGATGATAAGTATAAGGATTATGATAGCGACAAGTGGTAGTCACACTGTGAGCAGTTCTTTTTATTTTTATTTTTTATGATAATGCAGCAAGTTTGGAGCATGGTTGTATCATGGTGTGGGTTATGATTATTATAAGTATCTATATCCATATGTATATGCGGTCGAGTATAGGATAGTTGTGTGAGTTTTGACTTGGGTTGGTGAGGAGCTCGGTTGCTCTAGGATGGTTGGGTGTCAATTCTTATTGAACGAATGGCTTGGTCTTTTAGCTCGTGGATTGAGCTATTTGGTGTGTAGTCATTTTGATTTACTTATTGCTATTGTGCGATGCTTAAAGCATGACTTTAGAATGGGTTTGTATTTCATGGCACGATGGTTATGTTGTGTGTGAGTTTCATGCATTGGTGTATGGGTTCTGGTGATCGTAGAGGTCAGGTGTACGAGTGAGGGTTTCGGTATGACCTTAGGAGGTTAGTGTTTGTGACTTGGGTCACGGTTTGGTGCAGAGGTTCTTTTCAAACCAGTCATGGTAGGTGTGACATAGGTTTTTAAGTTATGAATGTAGTCTTTTGGTTATAGACGTGCATTTCGGTTATTCTGGTACGGTCTAAGGAAGCGTGTTGGTTCTGACTGTCGTGAGGATTTGTTAGACTTTGTAGGTCTAGGTTGACGTAGGCATTGATTGGAGTCATGCCAGTGCTAAATGACCGATTGCAGGTTGTGGATCATTTTGTGGTCTTGTACGAGTCTATTTTAAAGACTGGTTTGTCAAGGGGTGATCCTTATTTTGGAGAGTTACAGGAGTGTGCTACGGGTAATTGACTTTTGGTGAGTTGATTGCATGGCTCGATCGATGAGCGAGGTTCTGGGTTAGCACGACTGTCTAGAGAGTCTCAATGTGGTGTATAGTGCTTAGTTTTAGTTGGGTAGAGAAGGATTGCACTATGAGGCAGGTTGTATAAGATCATTGAAATGCTCGGTCGTTTGTAGATGAAGTGATTAATGGTAAGTACTGTGTTACCAAATAGACTATATTTTGGAAGTTTAAAGTTGTGAGCTGGAGTTGTATTTCAAGATGTGTCTGAAGTATTAGGACATAATGCCTGGTGTTTGAGGATTTGAAAAGGTAGACTGATGACAAGAAGGATTGGGACGAGGTTGATCTTGTAGGTTTAGTTGGTAGCCCTATTTGACTTTTGTCGGGGCCAAGGGTGTTCTGAGGAACGGGAATGATGTTGAACCTAGGGCATAAAGTTTTCTTATTTAGGCATGTAGATTGCCTTAGGAAGAGTGGTTTTAGTAGTCAGCTAAATGTTCATGATTGATTGTATTGTTGATGATTTTAAGGAGACAGTTAAATGTTGAGCTTTTGGTCTTTATACCCCATTTTTTTTTTCATTTGGGATTTTTCAACATGGTATTGCCGTTTAAAGGTCCTTTTCTGTGGATTCATGATTGAACAAGTGTTTTGCACTTTCAATGTCAAATGATATACTACATTCTCAGCATTACTATTTCAGAGGGCTGCCAAGGGTTATTAAAGGTTCAACATTAACTCCAAAAAGGTTGTAATGGACCATTTTGAGCCCGTTTGAACCTTATTGATCGAACTGACTGCTGACAGTGTGCTGTCTAATTCCCGAGCGCGCCGGACTCTACCTAACTTGTGTAGCTACAAATTTCCTCCAATCATAGGCTGTAATTCTGACTTGGTGCCTACTCAAAGAGGCTTATAATAGATTAATTAAACTATATTGTAAAAGATATCATCTAGTTTTTCTTACCAATTATAGAAATAGTTTCTCTCTTTAGAATTAGGGTTTAGAGAAGAAAGTAAGGATGAAGATGATGATGCCAACCTCCAAGCTAGCCCTTGAAGGATCCATGGCCACTTCAATGAGTGGCTAAATCCTTCTCTTGGGGCTAGAGATAGCCCCTAGGCTTGCTTCCTAAACATAGCTTTTGTACATTTTTTTGGGGATTTTAGTTGTAATTGATGTTTTGACCATGAATAAATATAGATCTTGTGATTTTTACATGATTTGTATAAATTAATACTTTCAATTGATCATTTAATTCTATTCATATGGGTATGCTAGAATGAATGTTTATGTGTTTTTCTCTAGATTTAATGAAATTGATGCATGTCTATGTGTGTTGATGTTGTTAATCTAGTGATGGTCAAGGCATGGTGCTTAATTGATTACTCTTGTGATTTATTTGATGGCTCATATTTATTTCTTGATGGATTGTGCCTCATCCTTAGTTTAATTAGCTTAATTTTAATGTCATTAGCTTAGTTGTAGTATAATTGCTTCAATTTCTTAGATAGGTGGAAAATCCATTCTTGTTGTTTGATGTTCCACACTTATGAATGCAAGAAGTATATTTCTCTATATTTTTGTGTGTGCACTAATTGTGGTTTAATTGAATGGTTAACGGTCTCATTTGATAGTTTGTGCTACTCACTAGATTGATTAGACAATCTATGCGTATTTGTCATCCATACTTAGTTTTAAATTGGTGACACACACACTAACAAGTTACAACTCGAATTTCCCCATTAATTTACAATTGCTAGTGTTTAGTGAAGTGAAGATTAGTGGTGAACTCTAAGCCCCAAGACCTTTTTCTCATATATCTTTTTCTAAATCTAAATTGTCATTTAATTTTATTGCTTTAAGTGAACCATTAGTTAATTAATCAAATCAAACCCTCTTTTGATCATTCGACCTACTAATCCATCATTAATTCCAAAATACCGTTCATTTCCCTTGGGATGATCCCTACTCACTCTAGCTACATTAATAGTTAGTAATGGTAGTGGCATTCTATAAATTCAAACTTGGCCACATTTCATTTTACACACCACTTTTGTGCAAAGGTCTTGACACCACCAGTCTTAGACACCGGATAGTGCTTTTTCAAAAGTTCTTATTGCATCTCTGCCCAAGTAGTTATAGAAAAAGGCTTCAAATTGTTAAACCAATATTTTGCTTTGTCCTTTAAGGTGAAAGGGAAGAGTTTTAACCTCAAAACTTCTTCCGGCATGTCCGTGTATTTCACGATGGAACATACTTCAAGAAACTCATCCAAATGCTTATAAGGTTCTTCATTAGGTAGCCCATGATAATTATGAAGCATTTGAATTGTTTGTGGTTTAATCTCATAATGGTGTGCTCTAAATGAAGGAAGTTGAATGCACGTTGGTGCATTATACTCATTTGGCACAAAATGATCTCTTAAAGTAAGGGGAGGATTCACAACCGGTAGCTCTACATAAGCCCCATGATTTGCTTAAACAACGGGAGGTGGAGGTGGTGGTACAAAGAATGGCCTAGGCATTCCCATTGGAACTTTGCCTTGTTGTTGTTGTGGAATGAACGGTTTAGGCATACCTAATGGTACTTGAATGGTGTCATGTTGATAATGCACATTAGGGTGAAGAATGCTTTGTTGGTTGATGTGACAAAGGTCTTCAACATGGTCCTCATTTTGGACGTCCAATGATGAAATGGAGTCACTTGAATTACCCCTTCAAACAACCGATTCAAGATTAAAATTCAATGGGACAAGAGTAGGATTCAATGACCTACGACCATGCATGCACAATGTAAATCAAAACAAACAATAACTCAACAACTAGCAAGTACCAAGCACTCCTCCTTCACAACAAGTCAATCAACAACAAACCTCCACATACATTGTTCCCGTACTCCCATGCTGTCAACAAAATGTAAGAAATAAATTGCCTCCACGCAGGCCAACGATTTAACTAAACAACTAAAAATTGCCACCACGTGGTCCGATGATTTAACTAAATAAAGAGAGTTAGTAAAGCTCACAAAAGGTCCTTAAGAAACTTCAAGATATTTTTAGCTTTTTAGCTTTGCTTTGCTTTCCACTTTTGTAATACCCCTAATTTTAAAAGGATAGT